CGCCGGCCCCCGGCCCTTAAAGGTGCCCCGGTCCACCAGCGCCGGCTCCGCGGTTCCCCCTTGTCTCGCCGCCCTTTCTTGGGCTGCGTCTTGGAGGAAAACGAGGCTCCTCTTCAATGCAAACCTATAAAATTAGCAGGAAAGGACACAGACGGTGTGGATCCCTCCGCCTCACCCCTGGTTTTCTTTTGCTGCAGCACAGCATTTAAAACTTGATTCTTTGCATCCTTAGACCTCAAGGAAACAGTTGAGAGCAAGTTTGTCAGCACAGAGTAGTTATGAAGCACAACCAGGATGTTAATGTGATTAATAACGATCTGTAATAAAAGGAAGAAGTCATAGTAGATTTAAAAAAAAAAACCTCTATCATAACAAAGTTAGAATGCACACCAGCCTGTGTCAATTGTGTGGCCTGAAAACTGAATTATGGGCTATGAAACCAAATAAATTTGAAGAAAAAGAAATGAATAAATAAGTTCACCAAGTGAGACTAACTCAACATTTCTCTTGCCCCTGGGGGAAATTAGTTATTTGGCTTAAATACTTAATAAAGAAATGCATTATCACAGTCTGGCTCTAGTTTTTAATACACTCTAATAAGCATTATTAACTGGGATAAGAAGTGAATGGACATTTATTGAATGCCTACTATGCACAGAGTAATTTACATGAGTCATTTTATTTAATTCCCAAGACATCTCTGTGAGTTGTGGCTTTTTATTTGCATTTCACAGAGAAGAAACACAAAGGTTGAATAACTTGTTCCAAGTCCGCAGTGATCCAGTGTCAGGGCTGGAACTCAAAGCTGGGTGCCACTCCCTCCGAAGACCTCTTGTTCCACTGTCAATCTGCTTCAAGGCTAACAGAAATGTGCATCAAATGTAAAAATTTGCTTTTATGTGTTCCCTATGTTGTTTGAAAACAGAGTTAAGATAATCAAGGACATACTTGAACAAGATGGCTCAGATTGAAAAATGAGTGGGAAAGAATTAATTAAATAAATAAGTAAATAAAATGGAAACAGGAAGAAACCCAGTAAGAAACTCCCCGCTGGAGTCCAACACCATAGCTGCACAGTAACCGTGAACCTGCTGCCAGTCTTTTCATTAGGCAGAACAGGAGGGAGCATCCAGGTGGACTCAGTCACAACACCTGTGAGGTCAACCAGCAGGAGGGACTTCTGGAAGTGGCCCAGCAAAGCTCGGAGGAGGAGCGCAAGTATTCTAGTGCACAGCCCTTCCCTGGTTGGCACTGCAGCCACAGGAAACAGGTTGGTGTAAACCTCAGTGTAGCCAATCGGCAAAATGGGGCAGCCTTGCCAGGTGTTGGAGAGCCTCACATAAAACATCCCTCTTCCCGTTTCATCAATCACTGTGCAAAAGCTTGGCAGGATCAGGGGCATTGAAACCAGTTCTTAAGGAGCTACTTGGCACTTGCTGGTATGAGAGTATGCGGTAGAGAGCGTTAAATAGAATTACAATGTCGTGTTACCTAATAACAATTGTTTTATTCACATACTATGCTGACTTGTAAACTATTTTTAAATCACACTAATTAACAGTTGAGCACAAAAATATCTACTCAAATCATGTATCAATCACAGCAGGTAAGAGTTAGCAGACACCATATATCTTCAAGCATGAAAAGAACTCCACCCAGTGCCTATAAGAAATAGGTTTGGGAGTAATTGATTCTAAATGCAAGTCCAATAAACACTTGCCAGGAAAAGTATTGGAAAAGGAGCCATCAATACCAGAAGACCATGAGAATAGCTAATATTTACTGAGCACTTACTACAGGGAGCTATTCTAGTCATGGTTCATTGTTAATTGCATCTCCACACCACCACAGAAGCACTGTCCTGCTTTTATTCCTCACTCTCCAGTGCTGCCCAAAGGTTTCCATATAAAACACACAGTACAGACGACCACGCTGCGGAGTTTCGGGGTGAGAGAAGGCGCGGCCTGGTTAGAGCAGGAATGTGGACTCCGAGGGGTGCCTGGGGGCAGTGGATCCCAGGACAGGCTAATGCATCTCTCTGGACACAGTGGGTGTGTATGGAAAGGCATGGCTGGGTAGACGCTGAAGAGCATTAGTGGACACTGAGGAAGCACAGAAGAGCTATTCACTTTTTCAGAAAAGCTCGCTCCAGGAAGAGTCACCTGGTGGCCCCACCCAAGGACAGCAATCGGATCCCTGCCAAAGGGAAGATGAAATTAGCAAAACAAATTCAGAAGGTGACAGCAGAAATGGAAAGGAGGGGACGATGATGAGAATACTTTTTGAGGTAAAGCCAAAAGAATCGGATACTGATTTTATGTGAGTGGGAAGGATAAGGAATCGGAGGGGAGTGTGATAGCACAACAGCTGTGGCTGTGGGGCAGTTCTCTCAGTGCTGACCACATCGCAGGCCATGTGCCATTGCTTTTAACAATTTAGCACCAATTCCAACCATTCCTGCCTGCAGTTGGAGACCCTCAGGTTCTGAGTTGCACAGCAATGGCCAGACAGGCACAGGAGAGCATCCACTGCTCAGTGGCTGGACAGGCGGGTGGTTTCATTGTTGTGTGAGCAGAGTGCACCTGACACACTAAAACAGATGTGACGTCACAGGCACACACACACACACACACACACACACACACACACACACACACGTCTGTCCTTGACTGGGATTTCATCCTGCACGTCGACTGGGTGCTGTACAAAGCCTTATTTTAATGCATTACAGAGAATAAAGGAAGTCAAAAGGGGGAACTATCTTCAGTGAAATGGAACAAAAATAGGATCTTCTTTTATTTTCCCTAAGAAACTTATTAAAGTGGGCTCAGAGGATGAACTTACATAGGAAATTTCCACATCTTTTGGGCAGTGACGAGAGACGGGTTGTGCTTTCTGTACCTTCCATATCTCAGGAACACTTCTGAGGTTGTAGACGGTTTACAATGTGCGTAGAAAACATTAAAAATGCTAATGATCGTGCTGAGTTTCTCAGGATAATAACAGAAGCCCATGAATTATACTTAAGGATGTGTGTCATTATCAAAATTTGGCCAACTAGCAAAGTAGTTCTCTGCCTGACCTTGTTCTAACAGACCTTATTCTAACAGACCCCCAAGTCATCTTCCCACATTACCTCTGACAAGATTTGGTTGCCTTGAAGATGATCTCTCAAACTCCATTGTTAGCCCACTCGCACGTACTCTTGTCTTCACTACGGGACACAGGGAATGTGTGCAAGGACCCAGTTCATCCTCTAGCAAACAGAATGGTTGCAAAGACACGTGTCCCTTGCTGTGGTCTTGGAAGTGAATCTGTTGCCGTGTGCATGGTGTTAGACCATCTAAGCAGACACCCGTGTATTGTGATCTATTAGAATTAGTTTCTTGGTCTTTGTAAGTCTCAAATGTAAGGGGACAAGCAGCTTCTTCCACCCAAGAGGATCAGGATGGTGCCTGAGGCCGCTGGCCGGAGCTCTCCCTCTTTCCGGGGATCCCTGTCTTTCTCATGAGCTGGGTTCTTATGCCTTGTTCCTGACTCTTCTTAAACTTCCCTGCTCACCCTCCACCCGCCCCTGTTCCTCCTTGCCACCTCACTCCTCTGACCGGCTCCAGCTGGTCCTCACTGGGTAAGCCCAGCAGTGCTGGGACCTCCTGCCTGCCTGTGCCAGCAGAGTCCCCCGCTAAGGCAAGTCAGTCTGGAACCAGGTCCTTTCCCAGGGTCTGTGTGAGCTTCAGCTCCACCAATGCCTGGAAGCTGTGTCAGAGTTTGGTGGGATCTGCTGCTCCACATCTCCTACAACAGGGTCCAGCCTCAGTTTCAAGAGATTCTAAGACCCAAGAATGGCAACGTCTCCTGGCCTGAGGTTACCCAGCCACAGATGCCTCAATGTCACCCTGCTGGGCTCGGGAAACTGTGGCTCTGGCAGGTAAAAGCCTGTATCTAAGACCTGTTTCTGTTACCTTAGCGAGCAAGCTCCAGGCTGACTGTGGCCCATGAGGACGGGCCTGGAGAGGTGGTCAGTGCCGAGTCGGTACTGCTGCTCTGAGCCAAGGCTGCCCTGAAGCACATCAGAACGGAGCTGAGGCTGCGGCGGGCGTGGACAGCGTCTCGGTTCCGTTCCTCAAGGCCTGCGGGGCTGAGTGTGGGGAGACAGAGTCTGCAGCTGCTGTAGGAAATAGCGGTAGTCAAAGCCAGAGCCACCGGAGCTCAGGGAGCCGCGGGTCTGCCACCATCTACAACAGGGTGGTGTGACACGGACGGGAGCGGCCTCAGACAGTGGTCAGGGAAGGCCACTCCCAGAGCCCACCTTGGGCTTAGTGTGCAAGGAGGGGAAGCCGGACCAGCAGCGATCCTGGGACACTGACTGGGGAGGGGGGAGGCAGAGGGAGGAACAGGTTACGGCCAAGAGGAAGGGACAGGAAGACCAAGTTAGAGGAGGAGAATCCCAGCCAGGGCGGGATCTGGGATTGGAGTCGGCTGTACCTGGGCTCCACGGGAGGAGGCTGAGCAGAGGTGTCCACGGACTTCCTCAGAGGTTCATGATGGTCACCCTGGACCCGGGGTTTGGTGAGTCGTGTTTGCACCTGCAGATGAATGTGATGGGGGCTGCCTTAGACGGAGCTGGACGGGCTTTGGAGGTGAGGGGGTGCCCGGAGGCCAAGGGGTGGAGGAGGGTGGTGTGACAGGACTCGGGAGCGGTGGAGGAGGAGGAGAGGGATCGCAGCTGGCTTTCGGGTGC